CTCCTAGTTAGATTGCAGGTATGGCGGCTAGTGTAGAACCCAGGTGGACTACTTAAATTAGATACTCAAAAGGTGTACGTGTGGCTAGTTGTATCCTCATGAATCTGATATAATATCGTAACTATTCGAATAAAGCTCATGCCAATAGCCTAAGTGGTCACCTTTAATATTAAAAAAAAAAAAAAAAAAAAAACAATTATGAATACTCACTGGTTTGTCTCCTGCTTTTACTAAAATGGCGCAACTGATTTGGACTAGTACGCTATTCACAACTAATGCTAGAGAATCAGCTCATGCGAATATTAACAGAAATGGGTGTAATTTATCTTTATTGGCTGCAATTACCAAGTATGTGTATTAAAAATTGAGATTATACAATACGTATATATGTACAACTTTTGCATATATTTTGGTATAATATTTATAAAATCGCTATTTTATAATTAAAAATAGAGCCAAAGAATTTGACAAACTTCAATGGAGTTCAGCTTATACGTACAAAAAAGCAAACGTACCAGAATCTTATAGGGATAAATCACCCTTACAAAGAACTATAAAATCGGTTAAAAAAACTAGTATGTTGTATATTATTACATCTTTTGTAATTATGTATTATTAATAATGAATTATTAAATTTAAAGACAAAGGCAAACGTTCAAATAAAACTTTGATTTATCAAAAATCTTCAAAAAAAGCTTGAGTTACCAGTGAATCGATTAACATTGAAGAACAAGAAAGAATTTTAAGAATCGAAAATAAAAAGCTTGCCATTCAAAAAAACAAAAATGATGAGTTGGAAAAGGAAATAATGTTATGAGAAAAACTTCAAAAACTTCTAAATAATTAAATTTTAATTCTATATTTTGCAAATTGTTGTATCAATATATTATATTATATATTTGCGAATGCTATATATATTTCGCTAATGTTAATACTAACAGATATATTACAATAAAATATTGGTAATATAACATTATTGCTTTTTAATGTTAATTGTGAATAATGAACATGTATTCAAATTAATTACATATTTATTACATAAAATTTCTTAATTTATCGTTATTATCTGCATAATAAATTAATATTCATATTATATATAATATTTAAATCAGCTTTGAGTTGTAGATTTTCAGATCACTTTTGGCATATTTTAGCAAAGTTCAATATACTGTACTGTATTATACTATTATTTATAATTTTTATTCAATACAGTACAGTACGCATTTTCCTTTATATAATATAAAAAGGTGTACTGTACGGATATATAATATAGTACATCTAAATTTAAGTACAGTACAATACTTTTAAAAACAAAATACAGTACGAAACTTCTACACCCCGATCCTCGACTAACCCTGCTAACATGTAGTCATGACTCATTCATACTCTTGTGATTTTTCCTGCTTGTCCCTCACTATTGAGTCTATTTTGCAAACTAGTTATCTGCCTACTTAATACTTTATTACTGAGACTCGTACATCTGTCTAGGCCTCTATACGTGATTAGAAAATTACCTGCTATTGCTGCTAACCCAATTTTGTATTTAATTAATCTGATTATAGGTTGGTATATTTTCTTTAGAGCTTGTTATGATAGCTTAGTTGTTTGGAATATGTATGCCAACTTGGGCACTATACACATATTGTTTATATATATCAATTGGCTAATCATTAGCTTCTTACATCGCAGTGTTCGTATAAAATTATTAACAACACTTTTTTCTTTTTTGACTAACAGGCTCTCTCCTATACTTCTACTTAACCAAACTTCTAAAAACTATATTAGTAAGTTTTTTTTTTTTGAAAGCACTTCTTGCCCTTTGATTGTTATACAAATTTGTTTAATACTTCTTGTTTTCAGATTATATACTAGTATTTTGGACTTTGTACTATTTATACCTATGTTATTTGCTTTATATAATCTATAAGCTATCTGTAGCGTCTGTTCTATCTGCTCTTTACTTGTAGCTATCCATGTTGTATCATCCACAAATGCAATTACTGCTTGGCTTATCACCTTCTTGCTCCATTTATTTGTTTTTAAATTTATTAATTTACTTGTGACTACTTTGTACCCAAGGCTACTGTCTTCTTGTACTCTTCTCAGAAGTAGGTCATAGAAAATTCTCCACACTAAGAGTGATAGTGTTTTATCCTGCTCTATGCTATCCTTTGCTGTAAATGTCTCTGTTGTACCATATTTAGTAATTACTTTGATCTGCCTCTTGTTAAACAGCTCAATTATAAAGTTAATTATCTGTTTTGGAAGCTTAATTTTATTTAATGCAAGCCTTAAGAATTTGATTGAGACTGAATCGTATACCTTCTTCATATCCTGTAATAGTAGCTATAGCTCTTTACTATTTTCTCTTGCATCTTCTATTATTGCTTCTGTTACATGGATCATATCTTTAGTCGAGCTTTTTGGGAGACCTGCAAAGTTTGGCTCTTTAAGTATATTCTTTCTAACTATTATACTTGCTAACCATTTGTTTAATAAACATGTAACACATTTTCTAAACTTCTCGAATAGTGCAATAGATTGCATATTGCTCAGCTGATAGCCCCAACTTTTACTCTTTGGGATTGGATACACTTGAACTAATTTCCACTTAATTGGTATTGTGCTGCACTTTAGACAGGAATTTGCAAAGCTTCTAAAGATTTTTTGTATTATTAAGCTTGCTTTTTTGATCAAAGCATATCTAATTATTAATACCCCAGGTGCTGTTCCAACTTTGGTTTCGCTTATAACTGCTAACCATTTATCTAATGATATGTCTTCACTGAGCTTTGCATACTATTCATCTTGAATTTTCTCAAGTAGGCTATAAAATTCTTGTATAATTATCTCATCAAGACACACTTTTCTCTTTTTAAACTGATTTTTGAAGTAAAGTCTGGTTCTCTTGAGTACCTTGTCAGGCTTAATGAGCAATCTGCCTGAGTTTTCTGATTGCTTATATATATAATCAATTTGGATCTTTTTTGATAACCTTTCTAGTATACTTGAAAGCATTCGACCTACATCACTGTCTATTCTTTCATATCTTTTGCTAATGGCTTTACTGATTTTTTCACCAACTCTTTTGTTTTCCCTAGTCTTTTCTTGGGTATACATGGCTAGCAAACATCTTTTTGCTTCTTGTATCTAGCTTTCTAAACTGCTTTTGCTAGTATCAAGTACTTGTAGTATTCTATAATCTTCTGCCTCATTTATTTCTTTGATTGCTTTGTTTATTTTTTTGATATGTATGATACTATCTATCTCTTGGATCTTCTTCTTAATATTCTTGATTAGTTTGCTTAACCAAACTATTTTTCAATACAGCATTGTTGTTTTAGGCTTATGCCTTGTAATGCCACCTCTTTTTGTTATTCTCTTTTTTGATATACTTCTATTTGCTGTATACCTGATCTCTTCAGATATTGCACTCCATGTTTTATCGATGTCATTGTCAAAACTGCTTTGTCTTAGTGTCACTAACTTCTTATTCTTGTTTAAATACTGTTCTAAGTTCTCACAATAAAACTCACAATTTTTGTCAGTTGCTTTGTTATACTTAAAAAAAGTTCTTGTTATGCCCTTTTTTCATGCTTTTGCTAAGCTATAGTTTCTGATTAAATGTTTTAAGGCAATTACTGCTACTACAATCTTGTGATCACTTGCTGTTATGAATTTCGCTTCTTTAATTCTCGCCTGATTAACCCCAAAACTCAGGTCTTCTGATACCCATATCTGATCTATACGTGTTTTGGTTTTATTATTTAACTACATAAAACTTCTTTGGGATGGATTAATCTATCTAAAAGTATCTGTAAAGCCTTGGCTTTAGAACCATTTGTGAAGTAGAAGTACTTTGTTTTTGCTACTACTATATCGACTTTCTTTATTTAATAAACTATCTATTATATGATTAAAATCTTCCATAATAACAAAATATGACTCTGCTGACTATGTAATGTATTTTTTAATTATTAATTGCTGAAGCTTCTTTTGTATTTTTATATAGTTAGGTGGCATGTATATTACTATTACTATTAGTTCCACTTGTTTAAAGTAGAAGTGCGCTTCAATTAAGTACTCTTTATATCTAATTATTCTTCCTAAATGTCTTTCCTATTTAATCTCAACTAGCATACCAACTCCTGAATCCTTCTTCTTTTCAATTTCTACCTGTAACCAAAAGCCTTTATAATTACTGTAATTACTTTTATTTATGCTAAATCTAAAGTCTCTTTCCCTGGTATTTGTTTTCACTAATCTTAAAATTTCTATTTTCTTCTCACTGGCTCATTTAACTATTGCCTCTAGCTTTGGTTTATTGCTTTTTAACCTATTAATATTGTGATATGCAATTTTAAGATCTAAATCCTGTTTATATAAAAGAGTGTTCATGTTTTCTTTTATAATTTTTCTCTTTTCTAACATATTCTTTGTCTTATGATTGTCTGTAAACACTACTTGCTCTTTAAAAATACCTTTGGCAACTCTTAGAATCGGTTGAGAGCTGTGTTTTTACTATTGCTTTTCTCTATCTTGTCTAGCCTATTCAGAATTTTCTCTAACAAAAATCTCTGGCTACTGTTATCTGGCAGCCTTCTTGCTATATATAAATGAGTTTCTTCTTTATAAGATGGCTTGGCTGCTTTATAGAAAGTATATGACTCTTTATCTTTCTTTATTATTTTATTGTCCCTGCTTCTTTTGTTTGCTACTGCTTTCTTGACTACTTCATTGTTTTCTTTGTTTAATTAGTGATTTTCTGTTTGCTTCGATTTCTTCTCTCTTGAGCCAGATCTTGATTTCTCTCTTTTTTCTAAATTATTAGTTTTTTTTGCCTATTCCAATCTTGTGTTGTAGTAGTATACTGTTGTTCAAAGTGCTGTCATATAGTCTTCTTCTGATATGAAGTAGATACTTGCTAAGCCTCTTTGGTTTCTATTCCTATTAGTAGAGATATATACTGCTTTTGCTTGAATAACTTTTAACTGCCTTAATATTACCATCTCAATAGCTAACAATAGTATATTTTTAATTACTGCTTTGTAATGACTTCTCTCTTTCAACATTTCTGTATCGAATTTGCCTTGGCTCAACCTTAGTATCTTTTCTTTTTCAAAGTGAATTGCACACATACTTTGTAGCATTTCTTTCTATTTTATATCTTTTGGTCTAATATTTATATATGCTGCCTTGGTTTTGTCTTGTAGCTTAAATTGTTTTACTATCGCTTTGCTATAAAAACTTAAATATTTTCTAATTTGGGATGCTCTTACTTGTACAGGCAAGTCCCAGATTATGATGTTTAATAGTTTATACTCTTTTGTCTCTTTACTTGTATTTGCACCTAATATCTGTCTATTCGTGGCTCATATTGACTTATATATATTATTCTTCGAGTTCACCAATGCTTTGTCTGCTGTTGTGGCCTGGGCTTGGCTCTTCTCAGGTGTTAAGCGTTTTTCAGTGATCATTTTCATATCTGCCATCTCTGTATATATTGATACTGCCACATGTTTTGATTTTGAAGTTTCTGCTAAATCTATATCTATACATATCTTCTCTTTGTTGCTTTTTTGCGAGATCTCTTCTTTGACCAATAGAAAGATATAAACTTTCTTGTATTTAAGTTCTTCTATGCCATAATCACTTTGGCTGCGTTCTTGTTCTATTAAGCACTCTATGTTGCTTTTTTTATCTATTTTCTTTGCATCGGGGCTTAATATCAACTTACTCTTATCTTTTGCTCGCAGAAATTCTGTATAGTTATATAGCTCTATAATGCTCCTGTATAAACATATTGTTTCTGGCTCTGCCTCTATCATTTCTGCTATTTTTTGATCTTTTCTAAGCACTATTTTTCTATACTCTTTTCTAATTGAGAATTGCTTATCTGGTGACTTTTTGAAAATTTTTTAATATTGGTCTAGCTTTATACAATTGCTTGGTTTTATCATCTCTGGCTAATTGCTGCCTCTTGCTATATCTAGTATTTTGTTTTGTCTTTAAATATAGCACTGTATCTACTTATCTGTTTAATGTTCATTTTGGCTATTGAGTCATGTTATTGTTTGCTTGTTGTGCTTCTTTGTTTACTAGATATACTTCTTTGTTTATTCATCATACTTTTTGTTTACTTGGCCTCTTTTTGTTTGTTTGTTTTGTTTTTGTTTATATTCTGGGCTTATTGTTTACATGGCTTTGTGTGTGCCTTGCATTTATTATTTACATAACTTTCTATGTAACTTGATAACAGAGTCAACCACAATCTGCTATTTTTGCAAAAAGTTTTTTAGTGAAGAGTCTTCGTGCTCTATTGAGTTTGTGTTCTTTACTAAGGCTTGTGTTTTCTAGCTAAGCTTTGCTCTCTAATTGATATCCTGTGTTGGGTTTGATCTTTTCTTTTTTTTCCTTATGTTTACAATATGTAGTTTCTAGAACTTTGGATTTGCCACTTAGTAGAGTGATGATTAGATTACTTCTTAGTTTAGATTTATAGAAACACTATAGTATAGTAGAGTAATATAATTTAGATTTCACTATATAAAGTAAATTTACTTAATTATAAGTTTCAAATACTAAATCTATTTTGTTATTTTTTTAATTAAAATATAACTCTTTAGATTTTGCTAATTGCTTAAAAAAAACTAAATTTCAGAGATAATAGAGATTTAAAATCTTTATAATATATTAATTTTAATAAAACTAATAATAAAAACTATTATATTTATTATTTTTATAGTCTTTAAAGTTCTATTTTTATTGCAAGATTATATATAATAAGAAAAGCATGGTTTAGTTAATTATAAAATTGGTTATTGTTAACTATTAAAAATTAATATTAGAAAAGTAATTATATATTAAAATAATACTATATAAAGCTTAATGCAGGCTATTGATTATTAAAGCTAGTCAAGTTTTTATTGTTCAAATAATTGCTATTTTAACTTTAACCTAGGCCAAAATAAAAACAAATTTATAAAACTGTTAAGTTATACTATATAATAATATAATATAATATATATTTATTACAACTCTTCATACTAATCACTGTAACTACATATGAAAAAAACAAAAACAACAGTTTTGGCTCATTTAAAACACAACGGCAAAAAAGTATTGACTAATATCAATATACAAGGAGGAGAATAACAAGTAGACACAACAAGTATATACAACTCAAAACCTTCAAGTTAAAGAAATAGTGTTAACCAAATGTTAAAGGCAGAATCAAGCTAGAAAGTATGGCAAGCAAAGTTCTAGAAACTACATATTGTAAACATAAGGAAAAAAAAAGAAAAGATCAAACCCAACACAGGATATCAATTAGAGAGCAAAGCTTAGCTAGAAAACACAAGCCT